CGCTGCCGCCACGGCTGCCACCACAGGGGCCACCCCGTAGACGGCGGGGGGCAGGAAGGGGTAGTACTCATCCATCATCTTCACCAGCGGCGCCACGATGCCGCCCACGCGCGCCATGGTGCTGCCGAAACCCAGCCCCGTCTGCCTGCGAAGCCGGGAGGGTCACGGGGGGCACAGAGCGCCCTGGGGGTGTCTGGGGAGGGGTGACAGGGACCTGTCCCACCGTGGGGACGTGGGGCCGTGGGGCCGGGGCAGTACCTGATGGGGGTGGGGTAGAGCTCGGTGGTGTAGAGGAAGACACAGTTGAAGGAGGCGGACAGGCAGCCCTTGCCGATGACGGCCAGCGCCGTGCGCACCGTCTGCAGCTCTGCGGGGACATGGGGACACAGGGGCTTGGACACAGGGTGGGGGGACATGCAGACAACAGGGCTTGACCACCATGTGGGGACACTTCAGGCAGGTGGGGATGGGGCAGGGAGGGAGGATGGAGGGTCAGTGGTTGGATGTAGGGATGGAAACTTGGAGGAAGACGCAAGACGAGCTGGGGACACTGGTGGCCAGAGTGATGGAGACCCCCCTCCCCACCCACCTGTGGGCACAAAGATGTTGGCCACGACGACCAGCCCTGCCAAGAACAGGGCCACTGTGAGTGAGAGCCGCCGGCCGACGTAGCTCAGGGACACGGTCACCACCACCTTGGCCGGGAAGTCAACGGCGCCGAAAATCACCTGGATGAGGTAAATGCTGACCCCAAAGTTCTGCAGGTCCATGGCCAAGCCGTAGTAGGAGAAACTGATGGAGAACCTGGTGGGAGAGGGGGGACCTTGAGGTGACATCACCTTCTTGGGGCAGGATGGGACAGGGATGGCAGGTGGGGGAGGAGAGGGCTGACAGGAAGTTGGATGGATAGGGTCACTGGTTGAGTGTCCAGGTGTCCATCCTTCCCTTCAAGCATCTGTGATCCTGACCAGATATGTGTCCGTCCATCCATCCATCCATCCATCCATCCATCCATCCATCCATCCATCCATCCATCCATCCATCCATCCCTCCCTCCTTGCCCCCAGCCCCACCAGACGATGGAGAGGCAGAAGAAGATGTGGCGGATCACGGGGGTCCGGACCAGGTCGGAGACGGTGTAGGAGGATTTCAGAGCTGCCAACTCCTCCTTCATGTTGGACTTCAACATCTGGGAGAGGGGAAACAGGAGAGGTTGGGAGGGGAGCTGGAAACCACCCCCCACCCCCAACGTGGGGCCACCGGACCTCGACCGTGATCTTCTCCCCCTCCTCCTTGCGGTTGTTGAAGGCGGCCACGCGCTGCAGGACCTTTACCGCCCGGTCGGCCTTGCCCGAGAGCACCAACCACCGTGCTGACTCCGCCAACCACCTGCAGCCAGCGAGGGGAAACTGAGGCATGGCCAGCGCCCCCTGTATCCCCACCGCCTCCCCAAGGGGCCCAACATCCTACCAGGAGTAGAAGAGGAAGACGAAGAAGGGCAGGGACACGGAGAGCTGGAGCCAGCGCCAGTGTGGGACGGCGTAGGCCACCCCGGCCAGGATGATCTGGCCCAGGGTGTAGGCGAAGCCGGTGATGGCCACGGTGATGGCGCGGTAGGGCGTGGGGATCCACTCCACCACTGCCAGGGACAGGGGGACACGGCTCACTCGGGGTGTCCCCACAGCACTGGGACCCTCCTGGTCAGTGCGGCCACCCCAGCGCGGTCAGACGTGTCCACACCATGTGACCCCAGCGTGGCCACAGTGATGTCCTCGCTCGTGGACACTGGGACGTCCCCCCCACGATCACTGGGTTGTCCCCACCAATGACCACAGGGATGTCCCCATCCATTGCCATTGGGACATCCTTATCCATGGTTGTCCCCACCCATGACCATTGGGTTGCCCCCACCAATGACCATTGGGTTGTCCCCGCCATGGTCATTGCATTGTCCCCCTCCATTGCCATGGCCATGTCCCCACCCATGACCATTGCATTGTCCCCCTCCATGGCCATGGCCATGTCCCCAGCCCTGACCACGCCCTGTCCCCGTGTCCCCTCACCCAGGCAGGCAATGCTGAGGCCAAAGCCGGACAGCGCCATCCCGCCGGCGAAGCGGAAGACGCAGTAGGAGGCGTAGTTGGGGGCAAAGGCCGTGCACGTCCCCATCACCCCCAGCTGCAGGTAGGACCACATCAACATGGCCTTGCGCCCAAACCTGCAACAGGAGCCACTGGGAGCCACTGGGAGCCACCAGAGATGAGCTGTCCAGAGCCCCACAGGGAAACTGAGGCACGGGGGGGGGAAGGTGTCTCTGCTGCCTTTACCTGTCTGAGAGGCCCCCCAGGACCAGGGCACCCACCAGGACCCCGGCCATGTAGATGGACTGGGCCATCTGCCGCAGCTGCCGGTAGCCACAGACCAGGTCCCACTGCCGGGACAGGGGGACAACTGGCAGTGTCAGTCTGTCTTTCTTCCTCTCCATCCATCCATCCATCCAGCCATCCATCGTCCATCCCTGCATCCATCCATCCATCACCCAGCCATCCATCCCTGCATCCCTCCATCCATCACCCATCCATCATCCATCCATCCATCCATCCATCCATCGTCCATCCCTGCATCCATCCATCCATCACCCAGCCATCCATCCCTGCATCCCTCCATCCATCACCCATCCATCATCCATCCATCCATCCATCCATCCATCCATCCATCCATCCATCCATCCATCCATCCATCCATCCATCCATCCATCCATCCATCATCCATCCATCCACCCATCCTTTGTCCCTCCCTCCCACCTCACCCCAAATCCGACCCCCTCCCTTCCCTCCCCCTGCCCCCACAGAGGTGTTGTCCCCCCGCCATGGTCACCTCCCCACCCTCCCTGTCCCCGTGTCCCTGTCCCCACCTCGGTGACAATGGTGGACACGTAGATGCTTCGGTCGTAGTCCCAGCCGTCATGGCACGGCTCGGTGGCCCGGGGACCACCGGTGACATTGGCCACATAGCGCCGGCAGGACCCCAGGGTGACATTGGACCACCCCAGCGTGGCACCAGTGGGCCCCAGGGTGCCATTGGAGGATGCCCAGGTGGCATCAGGCTGGACACCGGTGCCATCCGGGGACGCCGCGGTGCCATTGAGTGTGAGATGGGTGGCACCGGGGCTGTGGACGCCACTGGGGGACCTCAGGGTGCCACCAGGAGACCTCAGGACGGTGTCGGAGCCTCTCGAGGTGGCATCGGGGGTGGCTCCGGGTGGTGCTGGGGTGGCACCGTGGCCAGCGGGGGTGGCGCTGGGGACAGCGGGGACGCGGCAGCGGTGCGGGGGGACGGCGGCGGTGAAGTTCTGCAGCAGGTTGTGGCTGGCCATGAGCAGGATGGGCACCGCCAGCAGCGCCGTCTGCAGCACCTGGAACCGGCCCAGGCCCCCGACCTGCGCCAGCACCGCCCCGAACGGCATCGCGGGGACACCGCTGGCCTGGGGACACTGCTGGACACAGGGACACTGCTGGACATGGGGACACTGCTGGACACAGGGACACTGCCGGGCAGAGGGACACTGCTGGACACAGAGACACCTCCAGCCTGGGGGACAGTGTCACCTGTGGGGATGGCAGCACTCATGGGGACACTGTCAACCATGAGGACACCACAATTCATGGGGACACCACAATCCATGGGGACATCATCAGCCTTGGGGACACTACAATCCATGGGGACACCAGTGGACACAGGGACACAGGGGGTTGGGGACACCCAAGACATGGGGACAACGTCACCCATGAGGACACCACCACCCTCCCTGGGACTTCATCAACTGAGGGGACACTGTGAAACACAGGGACACTGGGGCCTGGGGACATCTTCACCCATGGGGACAGCAGGACGAGACACTGGGACAGGGGGACATCATCACAGGGGACACGGCCACCCCCAGGGCCATGGGGACATGGGACAAGGTGGGGGACACCGCTGGGAGTGCTGAGCTGGGGCCACCAGGATGTGGGGACAGGGGACATGGGGACCCAGAGACAGGGAGGGGACACGGGGCAGGGGACGTGGTGACCACTGGGGACGGTGTCACCACTTGCGTCACATGTCCCCAACCCCTCCTGATGTCCCCATCCCCTCCCAGCATGTCCCTGTCCCTGCTCCACCTCGGCGCAGCTCCCCAGGGATGGGGACATCCGGCCAGCTGTGACTCCGTGTCCCCAAGGTGAAGGGTCCCCTCTGTGATGTCCCCAAACCCTCCCTGATGTCCCCACCATTCTCCTCCATGTCCTCAACCTGTCCCATGTCCCCTCTGGTTTCCTCAACACCCCCATGTCCCCGCCATGCCCCCAGCTTGTCCCAGTGTCCCCCCATGATGTCCCCAACCTGTCCAATGTCCCCATCCCTCCCCAAGAGAAACAATGTTCCCAACCCCCCAACAACGTCCCCAACCCCTCCCTGGTGTCCCAACCTGTTCCCGTGTCCCCCAAATGTCCCCACCCCATCTCGTGACCCCCCGCTGTCCCCCCAAGTCCTGTCCCAGGAATCTCCCCCCACCTGTCCCCACCTGTCCCCTGCTGTCCCCACCTGTCCTCCAGGTGCCGATCCCAACCCGAGGTCCCCCCACTGTCCCCACCTGTTGTCCCCCCACCTTTGCTCCCCCAGACCCCACCTGTCCCCCTGTGCTGGGGGTCCTCCCTGCTGTCCCCCCGTGTCCCACCTGCTCTCCCGGTGCTGTCCCTGTCCCTGTCCCTGTCCCCCTGTCCCATCCCTGTCCCCCTGTCTCTGTCCCCCTGTCCCGCTGTCCCCCCGTGTCCCACCTGCGCTGCCGGTGCTGTCCCTGTCCCTGTGGGGGTCCCTGTCCCCCTGTCCCATCCCTGTCCTCCTGTCCCATCCCTGTCCCCATGTCCCTGTCCCTGTACCCCTGTCCCATCCCTGTCCTTGTCCCCCAGCCCCCGTCCCCCCGTCCCCGCCCCCCTTCAGCCCCCCCCCCCAATAATCCCCTATGGCCCCCATGGGCGCTCTGCCGCCCCCTGGTGGTCGAGAAAGGAAACGGGAATTGGGGAGGGGTCCCGGGAATTCGGGGGGGGGTGGTGTGTCACAGGAATTTTAGGGTGTCCCAGAAATTCGGGGGGGTCCCGGGAATTTGGCGAGGGGATTCAGAAGTTTGGGGTCCTAAGACTTTGGGGGTGGTCCCAAAGACTTTTAGGGGAAAATTTAGAGATTTGAGGGTCCCAGGGTTCTTGGGGGGGGGTGACCACACAAGCAGGTACAGCCCCCTCCCCTTCAGGAGGGCTCCCCAAAGCCCCGCAGACCGCCCCACAGGAGACTCAGGGGTCCCCAAGACCCCCCCGGGACCCCCCAAGTCCCACCAGGACCCCTCCTCCTCTGGCTCTGAGTTGGTCCCCGACTGTCCCTTGGCCCCAGGACCCCCAAAACGCCCCTGGGACCCCCAAAACCCCACCAGGACCCCCCAAAATCCCCCCAGACCCCCCCAGAGGAGACTCAGGGGTCCCCAAGACCCCCCCGGGACCCCCCAAATCCCACCAGGACCCCTCCTCCTCTGGCTCTGAGTTGGTCCCCGACTGTCCCTTGGCCCCAGGACCCCCAAAACGCCCCTGGGACCCCCAAAACCCCACCGGGACCCCCCAAAATCCCCCCAGACCCCACCAGAGGAGACTCAGGAGTCCCCAAAACCCCCCAGGATCC